CCTGGCTCACCCCCCAGGGCCCCCGGCCCAGCCCGGGCCGATAGGTGAGGGGGGCTGCAGTGAGGTAGGAGGGCGCAGGTCACGACCTCCTCGCCATCTCAGAGGTCATGGGCCCACCGGGAGCAGAGGCCCCAGCCCCCATGGGTCAAGGGTCACGGACCGTTGTCACAGGGAGCAGTGGCCGGCGGCCCCCCCAGCTTCCCCAAGGGCTTGCTAAGCCAGAGGCCAAAGCACCCCTCCAGCTGCCACCGGGCTGTCCCCTCCAGGGCTGGAGGAGGAGAGGGCTAAAGGAAAGGGGTCCGTGTACATATTTATCTCCCCTTCCGCAGAGCCCCCAGACCTTTTGTACATTTTTACGGGGCACCCCTCCCCACAGGCCCTTCCTGGTCCAGTAACCCTCAGACTGGTGCTGTGTTCCTAGCCTCTGGCTGCTCTAGGGCAGAGGGTGGCAGGGGAAGGGATGGGCAGGAATCAGGCTTGTCCGTGGTAATGTGGGGGTCCAGCAGGAGGTGAACCCCAGGGCAAGGGACCTAGGGGCCTGGGCCGCAGGGAAGGGCAAACCCCTCCCACTTGGCCGACAGCCCAGGCCCCCACCTGGCTCCCAGTTAACTCTTGTGCCCTCAGCTCTGAACCTCAGACCCGACCTCTCACGGCGCAGTGCCCACTCCTTTTCCAAGTGCCCCCAGGTCCCTGGGCCCTGCTCCACAGAACCCTGTTCTCCAGAACCCTGCCCTAGGCTGGGGGTGGCAGGAAAGGTCACCCGTACCACACACCAAAGAAAGGGGTCAGCCCCGGGGTGGGCAACACGGCAGCTTCAGCAGCCTGGTGAGCGGCAGCCCCAGCCTCCCAAAGCAGCAGGTGTCTCCAGGCTGGGGCAGTCTGGAAGACAGGGCTCAGTTTAACAAAACCGTAACGTTGACTTTTTTTCCCCCGGTGGGGCTTATTCTGTAACATGACTTGCGGATATTTATATAAAAATGAGTGTTACAATGAGGCCCTCTGACTCCTCTCAGTCTGTGGGCTGCTGGCTTGGATGGGCTGGGCCCGGGGTGAGGGAATGAGGACCTGGCGCCCAGCCGATCCTGAGAAAGAGTCCCCCGCTCTCACAGGGCCAGGGGCTGAGCTGCTGCTTCTGGATGGTGGGCATCCTGAAAGCTTTTGTTACTTTTCTACAGCCTAGGAATACCCAGATCCTGAGTGACACGTCACATTCCCGTCACCTACCTGCCTCTCTGCAGTTCACTCGCACGGGCAGTACATTCACACAGTTTTGTGGGGAAAGATTGTGACTTTTTAAATAATCCAGGGTCACTATAATTCATACAGTTTAAATACAAGTGCATGGTACAGTGCGAAGGGACCCTGGTATAGCAAAGGGGGAAAAATTCCTAGCCCTTGATCAGTAATGATGAAACCTGGCTACTAGAACCGGCTCTCCTGGGCCCCCAGAATTAACCGGGCTTGTTCCAGCTGGAGTGTTGCTTTGGTAAAAAGCCAACATTCATTGCCACCACACATACCCCAGACTTCTAGAGAAGGCTCAGCCCGTATTCCACAAAACAAGTCGGAAGCAGGTGACCAGGCAAGACTTGACTTGCGAGTTCTTGTTTGCAACTTCTGAAAATACAGCCCCTGGCCCACGTCCACCCTCTGCCATCCCTGAAGATGGGCATGTTCCTTCCAGACTGTCCCCTTGAAACAGGCCATCGGCCACACTCGTGTGGCTCTTTAGGCCATTGTCCACACATCTGCACATGCAAGTCCCCTCCCGGACTCTGCGTGTCCCCAGCCAGGGTGTCCATGTCTGCTGTCTGCTCCCTTCTGCCTTGTTTCCTCATCTGTGTTGCCAGTTGCCCAGTCAGAAACCTGGTCTCCCTACGGTCTTGGATTGCCCTTTGTGTGGGAAGGCAGGGCATCTCTACTGCAGACTGAGCAGAAGGCTTTAACCCTGAGCTAACATCCCTAGCCCTTTTTTAAAATTTTGAGGCAAGCTCGTGCTAATTCACTAAATTGGCTAGGCTGCACTAGGACCTGCAATCCTGCCTCAGCAGAGCCCTGGACTTGCAGGTGTGCACCTCCAGGCCTGCCCCTACCTGTTTTGTTTTGTTTTGTTTTTTTGCAGTAGGGTCGAGACAGGCCCAGGCTGACCTTGAATTTATGGTGATCTACCTGCCTCAGCCTGCCAAGTGCTGGGATTACAGGTGGGTGCCACCATGCCCAGCCAGTACCTTTTACGCTGAGCCTTTTTTTTTTTTTCCACACCGGGGATCAAATTTGGGACCTTGCACTTGTGAGGCAGGCGTCAGAAGCACTGAGCTCAATCCCTTGCCTACTCTCAGCATTTCTGAGGTGGCTGGGGATACAGAGGTGAGCAGATGACACTCCAGCTGTCAGGATTTACATTCTACTGCGCAGAAGACCAACAAGACACACACTACATAAAAACAGGTAAGAGGAGAAAACCTGAGGGTCTGTCCTCTCGGCCACCAGGCCTCGTGCACTGCCCTTGGCCTCCGGCCCGCACTCAGCACGACTCTGAGGCAGCGTAGAGTGGGTGTCAACAGGCAAATCCCACAGCTCGAGCCACAGTGACCTTGCTGTCAGGAAATGCATTTATTTGCTTTGAACAAGCACGGCACGGGAGCTGGGTAGTCTCAAGTGTACTTTGTTTCTGTGCTATAGATTTTTAAAATTCGTAAAATAGTTTTTTGTTTTTTGTACCGGGGATCAAACTTGGGTCATTGCGCTTGTGAGGCAGGCAGCAGAACCACTAAGTTAAATCCCCAGCCCATGAAATAGTATTATTTTTCATGAAATAGTTTTAAAAACAACTTAATTCAGATATCATTCATATACCATACCCAGTTGTGTTTTGTTTTTGTATTATTTTGAGACAGAATCTTGCTATTAAGTTCAGATTGGCCTTCAACTCACTATGTGGCCCAGTGATCCTCCTGTCTCAGCCTCCCCAGTGCTGGGACTGTCATCGGCATGTGCCACCATATCTGGCCTACCTAGTTTTTTATAATCTGTTTCTTTCATTTAGCACTATGTTTTCAAGGTTCATCCACATTGTAGCTTAACTTGTTTTTATTGCCAAATAATACTCCATTATGACGATATATCACATTTTGTTTATTCCTCAATTAATAAACACTTATGGTAGATTATTACAAATAATGCTGCTAAAGGTGGGTATAGTGACACCCACCAGTAATTCTAATTACTCGGGGATGAGGCAGAAGAATTGGAAGTTTGAGGCCAGTCTGGGCAACTTAGACCTGCTCAGAATAATTTTTGTGATCCTGGTGGTAAAACACAAGGCCACTTAGCACTGAGCTACATCGCCAACCCTGTTTTATTTTTGAGACAGTGTCTTGCTAAGTTTTTTTGTTTTTGTTTTTGTTTGTAATGCCAGGAATCAAACTCAGGACCTTGCACTTGTAAAGCAGGTGGAGGCACCACTGACCCAAATCCCCAGCCCACTAAATTGTTCAATTGCCCAGGCAAGACTTGAATTTATCCTCCTGCTTCCACATCCCAGAATGCTTGTATTACAAAGTACACACCATGGCCCCTGGCTTAAAAAAAAAAAATGTATAGCATACACCTTTTACTGTAGTAATACCAGTTACTTGGGAGGCTGAGTCAGGATGATTACAAGTTCAAACTCAGCCTAGGCAAATTAGTAACTTTACAAGATCTTGTCTCAAAAAAAAAAAAAAAGAAAAAGAAAAAAAGGCTGGGCGTGGTGGCGCATGCCTGTAATTCCAGCACTTGGGAGGCTGAGGCAGGAGGATCACTGTGAGTTGGAGACCAGCCTGGGCTACATAGTGGGTTCCAGGTCAGTCTGAACTACATAGTGAGACCCTGTCTCAAAAATACCAAAAAAAAAGGCCCAACTGGGCATGGTGGCACATGCTGTGACTCTAGCACTCAGGAGGCTGAGGCAGGAGGATCACCAAGAGGCCAGCTTGGGCTACACAGTGAGTTCAAGGCCAGCTGAACTACATAGTGAGACACTGTCTCAAAAATCAGATTGATTAATTAGTTAATTAATTGAATTTAAAAATAAAAAGAGCTAGGGATATAGCTCAGTGCAAAGACCCTGGGCTCAAACTCCTATATGGCACAAAAAATGAATAAAAAGAGCTGGAAATGTAGCTCAATGGTGCTGTGTTTGCCTACATAAAGGCCCTGTGTTTAATCCTCAGTATAACAAACAACAATGTCATGAATATTATATATCGTGTACTTTTTTTTCCTCCGGTACTGGGGATCGAACTTGGGACCTTGCACTTGCAAGGCAGGTGCAGTGCCACTGAGATACATCCCTGGCCCTTCGTTTACATTTTTTGTATGAATGTTTTCAGTTGTCCTGAGTACACAGCTAGGGATGAAACAGCTGGGTCCTGTGACATTTGTCAGGCTGGGCTCCACAGTGACAGTGGCACCTCACTACCAGCACCTCTACCAGCAGTGTGTGCAAAGTGTCAGCAGT